CTTTAGATTTAATCCATAAAAAGGTTTTAACTTGCACCCTTTCCAGCAGGTTTTCAATTAATCCTTCATCTTTTCGAAATACTTGAGCATTGCGTCTATACCATAAATACCAGGCAACCACTAGAAAAATACAGGATCCCATCTCCTTTCCAACTATTCTTCCTAAACCACATAAGAAAAAATCTGTCATTCCCACCACTGTATTAGGCAAGACACTCTCCACACCCCACCAACTCAACACTTATGCCCAAACTAACCATGCCTTATAACAGACGCAGAATAAATGATTAACTTCCTCCACTGTCCCATTGCAACGATCGCAAAAAACCCCTTCTTGTACCTGTATCCCACGTTTTTGAAGGTTTTCCTTTGTTGGGAGCCTATTTAAACATAATCGCCACCCAAAAAAAGCCACTTTTGATGGCACCCAACTGCACCATATTAATTTGCGCATCTGGTCCTCTAAAACACACTCCGTAGATGCTAGAAGGTCATATGCTATTTTTACAACATATTTGCCTTCCATCTCATGGATCCACTTCCAAACATCCCCCACCCCCTCCTTTAGATGCACGCCCTCCAGCATCTTCTCCAGCTGTTTCTCCTCATTTTTCTCACGCCCTATTGTTCCCCTCCTCCATTCAACCTTCCAAATCCATTTTCCCTCTTCCCAAAAACCCATTTCGGCGATCTTTCCTTCCTTCTTCATTGATAACTCAAATAACCTTGGAAATAGATCCCTAAGATTTTTATCTCCAACCCACCACTCCTGCTAAAAGGCCACTTTTTTACCCTCACCCACTTCCCACTTGAAACCCTCAGCCAGCATATTCCTATGTTTCTGAGACTGACCCCTTATCCTAATAATATCCCTCCAAAGCTTTGATGTCCTCGCACACTCAATTGCAGTGATATCTACCTCCCTCCTTCCTCCATAGTATTTCTCCCTCACTACCCTTTTCCACAAGCTGTCAACCCCATCACCCATCCTATACCACCACTTCCCTAACATTGCCCAATTTTTTCTACGCAAATCCGGCACCCCTAGACCCCCCTTCGCCTTAGCACTACATACATGGTCCCATTTAACCCACGAAATCTTTTTATTTAACCCTGTTCCTCCCCATAAAAAACACCTTTGAATTCTAATCATCTCCGCAAGCACAACCTTAGGCAATAAAAATAACGACATATAAAAAATAGGTAGTGCAGAAAGTACCGAATTTAGCAAGATGAGGTGAGCTTTCCTTTACAATTAAACTCTAAATCTTTTAAATCCTACCATAAACCTTGAAAGTTAAGCCTAATTTTTCCTGTTGATTATTAGCTCAAATAAAGTGTCAATGAGTTATGTTTTTGCTTTCTACTTTGTCATTCTGATGCTAAATTTGCTGTAATGAGAGCACATAGTGGTTTTTAGCACTTGAAAGAGACATGATTTTATGGTGATTTTATTGGGATGGGATTTAGCTCCTAGAAAGACAAACTCCATTCTTATGGCAGAAACCTTGAGAAAGGGCTTGTTCTAGTTTAGTAACTTGGTTAAATCTGAACTTCTGGAGATATCCTCGCACAGAAATATTTATCTCATTTGTTTTGGTTAAGGTTGTTCAACTTTTTCATTTTCTCTCCGGTTTTAAAATTAAAACTGACAATTTAGTTATTGCCATTTTAAGAAGCATGCATTCTTTTATTGTTACATGAGAAAGTTCATCTACTTAGCTATTGCAAAGATTTGAAACTGAGTCTCTGAACTTGACCTAGAAATCAAGCCTTTTAAGTTACTACTGACTCTGTTAAAGTGCTTGTTGAACATAGCATGCATTTGTCACTCATTATTTAGCTTTGTAGTATTTTTGCATCCACAGATGTGTCAAGTTTTATAACTGTTTGATTTCTCTGTAGCGAACAACCCAGGCATGGATGCCATCTTTGTGTACACAAAGAATGGACATACGGCATCACTCATCTCGCAACGGTCCATATCCACCCATATTTGCCTTCACTAATAATAGTGACACCCGAATGGCTCTAAATCTGCGATGGGTGGTTATTCCATTGCTTGTTGATCTTTCATATGATATGGAGAGTAACATCTCAAGAACCATGGATCTTATGAAAATAAAGAGAATGGTGAAACCTCGAGATGCTGTTTTGGTGGTTTCAGACTTAACTCCATCCATTCCAAATCCGACTGCTTTCCAAGCAATCCGGATCAAAAAGTTTGACTAGCACTCTCCATGAGAGGAAGTTGATGTTGGTGAGTCCAGAAGGTGAAGGAAGTGCACCTTTATGCCTTTCCTATCCATTTGTTTGGGATTTGATGACAACTGATCGTTTATACTATTGAAATTGTATTGCATAAATTGTGCTTGGTTGCTATATATGATCACGTTTAAATTTAAATGCTTCTGTTAGAGTGATTGATGATCATGCTATCAGGTATACACAATGAAAGCAGGAGATACATGATGAGTTTTGCATAACATGTTAAGAAAATAAACACACACAGGAACACAATTCTTGTACATAATATTCGAAATACAAAACAACCAGAAATTAAGACAACAGATTTTCTCTTCGGAGACCGGAACAACTTCCTTATTCATCAACAATAGAAGAAACCTATCGCTCAATTTTCAGAATCCTCTTGCCACGAGCAGGCTCAACTCCTACAAAATGTGCATATCGTTTTTCCATATAAAAATTTGTTCTTATAGAAGAGGTATCTCAACTTAGTAAGAGCTGAAAGAAAGAGATTTAAGAAATATAATTTACTGTATGCTACATTATTAAAATAGACGTACTGAAAGGAAATGAAATTTTAGTATTGTTCCAAATACTAATCCATTATCTTGGGAGAAATTAATAGTGTAAGGGCTTGAGTATTCCTTGTACTCTATTTAACAAAATTCGTTTTTGCCTTTCAGAAAAAAAAAAAAAAAAAAACCCCATTACCTTGGGGAAGCAAGCATGCGCCCCATAGAGAAGAGCACCCGACTGCAAAGTAAAGTCAACAAAAATATGAAGCTTTAGAGATCAGTGATGTTTGAATAAAAGTATGAATTTGAAGAGCCAGCACATAGCATATAAATGGCAATGGAGTACCTTTTTATAATTCAAGGCCACGCGGAATGAGCCAATAGTTGTCGCAGAAACCAAATCTTATGCCTGCAGGCGGGTGTAAGGCTTCGATTATGTCACCTTCCTCAACTTCTCCAGCCAAATATATCCCTAATTCCTCCACATTCTGAAGTTCAGCTTTCCTAGCCTCTTCCTTATCAATTGAATTTCCCACAACTTTCATCGCAACCGTACGGAGATGCTTCAAGTTTCCAAGATCAGCAAGGCTAAATTCTTTATCATCATTCCTATCAGCTCTAGCAATGACCCCGTGTGCCCTTCTAAGAGAAGTTAATTTCCGGATGTCTTTTGGGTATTGAGTTAGAGCAAAGCAACCAGTAGTAGCAATAGTCCTCAAATTGAGTAATTTTCCTATCGACTCTGGCAAATGCTTCAGATTTTGGCATCTCTCCAGATTCAAACACTCCAAATTAAATATGTTGCAGAGTGCTTCAGGTAGCGTTTCTAATTTTTTACTATAAGCCAAGTTTATATGTCTCAAGTGCATCAATTTCCCAACTTCTTCAGGTACTTCATTACATAAATGATTACGTTGAGTTGGGCGGTTAAAATCCAACAGCCTTAAGCGTCTGCAATGATTAAACAAGCTACGCAATGCATTTGGAGTCAAAGTATCTTTTCCTGTATAAGTTACAAGAGTTCGCAACTTTTCTGCACCAGAAATGAATGTTGGAAAAGTCATCCTTTTATCAACCATCACTAACAAGTGACGGTGTTTTGCTGAGTTTGTACTCAAATGATCAGATTCCACAACCTCCGTAGCAAACTCATCCTCTGCCAAATATTTGCCAAAGTCATGTACCACATCATGCACCTTAAAATGATAAATTTGTCCATTCCAAATTTTAAAATCTTGAAAGAAAGAGTGGGCTACTAGGATGTTAAAGTATTCTAGCCCTACTGACTCCAAATCTGCATTAGGATCAGAGCCTAAAAACCCCTGTGCCAGCCAATGTGATGTTATGTTATTATACGTGTATTCAAAATCTTTAGGGAAAAGTACACAGTACAAGAAGCACTGCCTTACAGGATGGGGCAAATCATAATAACTCAATAGTAAAGGAGCAAAAATTTCCTTTTGTGCCAAATTTAGTTTCCATATTTCACTATCCAAGATAGTTAGCCACTCTCCTTTAGTACTTCTAGACTGTAAGAGACTTCCTAAAACTTTGGCAGCAAGAGGTAAGCCTGTACATCTTTTTGCAATTTTCCTCCCAATTTCCTCTAAATCTCCTCGACTCTTCATCTTGTCCTTTCCCCTGAATGCTATATCTCTGAGTATTGACCAACACTCCTCATCACCCAATTTCTTTAGATGAATGATTTGTGAGTCAGAGGACCCCATCATTGATGCAACATTAAGATTCCGAGTAGTGACTAAAATTTTACTTGCTGTGGCACCAAGATTGAATGTAACTTTTAGTGAATCCCACCTCTGACCTCCATCGGTCCAAACATCATCT